CTGTATGGAGAAAGCAGCGAGCCTGAACTTCAGAACCCCTCAGTCTGAAACAGTTCCAAGCAAAGGTTATATTGAATCTAAAAATCAAAACAAACCAAATCAAATCCTGTTCAAAAATGTTCTGAACAGATTGCTTTTTAAATGAACAACAAATTGATTTATATAAGCCACTAATTGCTTCAGTGTGTCTTGGAAGGCTTTCCTTTGATCAGTGCTTGGCAGCCAAACACTTAGGATATTATCAAAGCCAACTTAAGAACATAAGAAACTTTTATGATGAGAACAGAGGCAGTTCAGCCCATCAGAACTCACAATTTTGTTACATACTGAGCGATTCTGAACATCAAGCAGAGGCCCAGAGAAACCCACAGTTTTGCTCTCGTTCTTGTTAATGTTCGTGCTGTATGGCTGGTCGACGAAAGCTGCCTTGAAGGAGACCTACAGTATCTGGCTCAACAAATCAAATGGTGCTAATGAGATTCGTAAAGAAACAGCTTGAGGCCTCTCCGACGAGGAGTGGCAGGTGTCTCCGGGGAGAGAAGAACACTGCCTAATCCCTTCTCTTCCAAGGCGCGGAGGCCAGGTAGGAACCACATGCTAGCGCTGATCAGCGGTGTGTCCTGAAAGCTCTGGAGGGCTCAGTAGGTGAGAATAAGAACCTTGAAGGGGATGTTAAACTTTACTAGTAGCCACTAGAGAGCAAACCGGTGGGAAGAAATGTGTTTATGCTGCTTACCAGCAGATGGAATTCCGGCTTCTGCTTCCTGCTGCCTTTGGAGCTTGTTCCTACGGCGTGATGAAGGTCAAAGGGGTCAAACCCAAGCTGTTTACATATCAAGAGTCAAGAACATGATGGGTAGACACATTACTTGTAGGAGATGAGACAGACTTCTGGCCCATTTGGTAGTGAGTAGCTAACTGATCCCAGAACCCTTAGGATAAAGATCTGCTTCCTGTTCCTGGTTTTACACTCACTTACACACAGTTCCCACATGTACCCTCTGCTTCCTGTCCATCCTGAGGAAGTCAGCTGGGTGTATCTTGTCAATATCCTTGTGGATTTTGATTATTTGTCTTCTGGACACTCATGGTGTTCCCTATTCAAGGCTAAAAGGTTCAGCTCCTTCAACCTGTCCTGGTAGAGGATATTGGGACAGTTGAGTTACGTTTTACAACATAACTCACCAAACTCAAAGCTGCCTTTCAGATATTGCAGAACCTTTTTATGGTATTAGAGAAGAAAAAGAGATCAGGAAGAGACTGGGAACTGTAGGGTGGGTCAGTGTCCAGTGAAGACTGCAGTAAAACAAAGGCTATGTGCAGGAAAAAAAGATTGAAGAAACACAGCAACACACTGCACCACTCTGCTCTCCTCAAGGGAACAAACTGAACACCCTAATAGCTGCTGTTGATTGAAAATTTCATTGGCTACACAGTGCATTGTCTCCTTTACTTACATGAGGTGACTCCTGCCAATGTGTTGCTGAAGCACAAGTAGAGTATGTTAATAATTATTTCAAAATCAAAACAGCAACTTATACTTTGTTATTTAAGAGAGAGCCTTAGCTTTTACAGTTGAATGCTCTTGGCAGCCTCTTTAATTCTACCTGACACTGTTACATGTGCTTGCAATATTTTCAGACCTTTTTTTCTCTTTGCGTTTCGTTAGTGCAAGTACATTTTTCTTTCTAAGAGATGTCATGATCTCATCCTGTAAAACCTCTTTAGAAGCTTGCAACATAATAACTCAGTCCGAGGAAATGGTAGGGCTTGCGTTTTGTTTTGTTGCAGGACACGCAGCACGTAACACTCCGAGCCCTCATGGCAGTATCCTATTGGAGGAAACTGAGAATCAGCAGCCCTGCTGCTAATGAGTTGTGTGTTGTGTCACATCGTCGTGCGCCTTAAAGTTTCCTGGTTCAGTATGGTCAAATTAAAAAAACATCAATGGCTACTGAGCTGCAAAGAGACTGTTACTTTGCGGAGGGATCATCAGAAACATTAGATGGATGTTACTCATCCAGCTCTGCTACAGCTAAGGCTACAGTGCTAAAAGCTAATAAGTCACCTGAGTCGTATTTCAGTTCCTGGAGGAAACCAACTGATCACACGCACCAGGTGAAGAGACTGTTCAGCTTGAAGTCCGGGAAGTCCAGTTTCTTACTCCTTGCTCAAATGAGAAAGTCTGGAAGAAGATCTGACCGAGACGTGGAGTGGGAATTATCATGTCAGAAGACACGGCAAGCAGATTTGTGGATGACAGCGCTTAACAGGAATGAACCAATTCCATTCTGAATCAATGTTCCTATAAGGTTTGTTGCTCACAAACATAATTTACCGAACTCAAGCTGCCTTTCAGATATTGCAGACTTAGTGAAGGTTTTATCTTACATTGTGGCTGATGAAGGAAATGCAGTCATGCTTTGTTAAGCCATGCTATTTATGGAAAACAGTTGCATTGCAAACTTCATTTATAGTGTTTCATCTTTGCTTGCTGTTTCCATGTAATGCAATAAATTCAAAATCCTAATTTGGATAGAACAGCAAACTCTTTCACATTATATAAACCCACTTAATATCTTCTCAGTAAAACTGCTTCGTAGCTCTGTAGTATCAACAGACATATGGTAGCCCTGTCTATTCTAATTATACATTTTCAAAAAGAAACACCCCATTCGGGCTCAGTTCACATGTGATTGTTATTCTAAGCAAACTAAAATATTTCTCATTCACTGTCAAGATCATATTAATATCGGAGAAAAAACATGTTTTTGAACTCAGTTTAATTACGGAGCCATCTGTTAAATTAAGGAGTCCAGTAAACTTTTATATTAAACACAAACATTTGAAACTGTTAATATCCAACAGATTTCATGTGTTGAGACTAATCTTTGTTTAATGTTGGAATTTGGTTTTAATGATCAATAAGAGCCCAAGACTTTCCTCCTCCCTTCTAGAAAGCAGCCTGACCCACAAGTATAAAACAAAAACTTTTTCTTCTGTACGGGCAGACAAACAATATATTTAAAAAAAGTCAATGCAAAGCAAAAAAACACAAAGGTTATCACTATGCTAACTCATATTGCACCTGATGCAGTTTAACATTGTTTAATTGCTGAAGTTCCAAAACAATCCTGTAAGTCTGCTGTGCAAGATGCTGATCTTTGCTTGACTGAACAAAAAAGAGCTTGACAGAAAAACACACAGAGAGACGTTTCCAACCAGGTTGAGTCAGGTTCTGTCATAAAAATTCAATCCATGCTTTTGCCTTCCTCAGATCTTTTCTCACTGCAAGTAGCCAGCCCTAGAGCTCCTGTCAGCCTGCCTGCTCCCAGTCCTGCACAGCCAGCAGGATCGTCCACACTGGGACATGACTGGGAGCCCAGCACACGGCACCCTCAGGAGATCTGCATGAATGGATATTCTAACACTTACAACAGCAATAAGGAATTTTAATAAATCTGCTACTAGTTTTCAATGAGTTCAGTTAACGCGTTCCCCCATCAAGCTACCTCATTAAACAGGAGTGTCATCTGAATGCTTGTTATTGCTCAGTGTTGTTTTTCTTTCATTACAGAAACAAAGGATGAGGGAGAGTAAAGCCATTCACAGTATTCTTACTGAACTTGCAGATTCCTACTAAAACTGATTTCAAAACCAGTTCAACAAAACGTCCAGACAAGGAAGAGTTAAAGAACTTCGAAAGCCAGAGAAGTCCTCAAGTGAACTCGCCAGGCCGTTTTCAACTGATCCGTCTGTAAACTCTGCATTGTCCCCTGGCTTCAGATCTTTTTTAACTTGAGCAAGTCCAGAACTCCATTGTAAAAGACGGCTTATCTATTTCACGGACACGGGCTGACAGATACCTTGATTTAACACACCCCTGCATTTCCTTTTCAGAATGTACGTTTGGGGTTCTGACCAGAGACAGGAAACTGTCAACACCCCTGTTTTTTAAAGACTTTCCAAAGTAAAAACAACCCTTTTCCTGGTCATCAGGTTCAACCAGGAATTTCTCCGGGCTCGGATGATGTTTCAAAAGAGCAAAAACAACAAAGGAGAAGGACAGAGGGGAAAGCTGCAGTATTTGAAAGTTAAAGGGCTGAATGACCGGATGTTATTCTTCAGAATTCCAAGTGTTTCTTTTTGCTTTGTTTAGCGTTTTCAGAAATCACTATCAGAAATAGTGAGTTATTTTCACGCAGGTAGGAGCAACAACAATTTGAAATGAAGAAAAACAACATGAGGACTGAAGCATGACAAAATGGTTCATAGCCACTGCTCATCTAACTTATCCAGATATAAGATGCAGACTGTATTTTTCCTGGTAAGACTAAATAATTAGTGAGATATATATCTACTTGACAATTGTGCCCAGAGCATTCTGACATGAAGCCCAGTCAGAATGACGGATAAGATGCTTAAAAGTAGTTACACCCCATGAGCAAGACAATGCACTGTATGCAACTGGACGCTTTATTTTTTCTAAGACTTTGAAACCAGTTACGGAAATTCACCCTAACAATTAGGTCATGGTGACAGAAAGGGCGTTTGTTTAGCTTTGCACTTTCCTGTCCTTAATTGATCTGGAGGTATTGTACCACTTTGAGGAGGCGTCTGGAAAAGCACAGCCATTTATAACCACATGTCTGCGCCTGACTCATTGTGCTCATTAACTCATATCGGTGACTGAAAAGAGCCTTCATCGGCTCTCCAGAGACGAAATGACAGGACTTTTCCCAAAATGAAGAAAATGCTAATTTTACACGGCTAGATGCTGTGGGTTAAAGATAAGATAAGATCACTTTATTGGCCACATACAATTTCTTGCATTAGGAATTTGTCTTTTCACACACCCCAGCTTGCTCTCCATGAGACACACAGGCAGGGAGAGAGAAGCTGGGGGCCAGAGCGCAGGGTCAGACATTCATACAGCGCCCCCAGAGCAGCTGGGGTGAAGGGTCTTGCTCAGGGGCCCAACGGAATAGGATTCCTCTGCCAGCCAAGAGATATAAACTGTCAACCTTCCAGCCACAGGCGCAGATCCTGAGCCACAGAGCCACCGCCCCGCCCAAGATAGCAGCTAGGTGAAAGGAGGTGATCAGTCTTGCTGAAATCATTTTAAAAAACCAAACAGCTACCAAAGGCCGTAGATCTCATCTATTCAGCTACAAGGTCGGGTCCACCCAGGGGTCCGAGCGGGAGACTTTGCCAGTGTGAGGCCTGTAGAGGTTCACTCCACGCAGAAAAGCAGAGGGAAGAAAAACAGAAAACTGAGTTAGGCTCCAGGGCTGAAATGTCATGTTTTTTTTTCTTTCTGCTTTCCAGCATGACATTAACCCCTACTTCCTACTAGTATAAGACTTCTTTGAACATTTGTTCAAACATACATACTGTATACCATGTACGTAGAAAAAGTTATTTTTATATAGGTCTCATCTGTAAGATGAAAAACATATACATAAGTTACTATACTTGAGCTCTTTTCTGAATGAAAGCTACGAGCTTATATTTATATTTAAGTCAAATCTGTTAGCATATGGGCTACATTTCAAATGTCTTTTTTATTTCAACTTTCATGTTAGAATGATTCATGCTAAAACATTTTCTTTTAAATTGCGTGTTTTCTAATGTAAGAAGAAGATTAACAATGTTGTTAATGGTCCATTTTGGGGCCTGACAGCATTAAGAGTACATGCCCTACAGTCCATTGAGTGACTGCAAATTGTGCTCCATCTCCTTATGTTATTCATTTCTGTTCACAGTATCATTCTAAAGCAAAATCACCTGATCTGTCAGTTTCCAAAGTGCCTTCACACGCAACTTCCTCATATCGTTGGCTAAAAATGCACTTTACTTATTCCAACATAGTGCTTGGAAAATAAAAGCTCTTTCAAAGATATGATTTCTGGGCTAAAGAAATGAAAGGTCATATTTTTTGTGGCTGACTGACATTTACAAATGTTGTTGAAGCCGATACACTGGTTTCTTTGAAGAAACGGTTGGATGGGATCCTCAGATCTATTAACCACTAACGACCAAGTGGGCCGAGTGGCCTCCTCTTGCATGGTCCTATGTTGATGCCGCCAGTAATACAGGTTTTCTGAAAACATTTGGTGTTAATATTATATACTAAAAAGTCAGAATATAACAGCAAAGCAAAAGCAAGACCTGACATTAGAAAAGGCATGCATTTGTTTGTTTGTTTTTTTGTTAAAGTCAACAAAATGTTCTGAAACCATCTGTATGCCTGCAGACGCTATACAGTACCATGTGGTATCCTCTTAATGCGTATCTGGCAGTCCGTTCTGTAAAAACCCCAACAGCACTGGATGTTCCTGTGGATGTATAGACCTTTTCTAGGTAAACCGTGTAACCAAGGTCCCTGCTTGTAAGTAAAAAACATTTATGAAGGAACAATTATTTATAATGACCCTTAATTGTAGCTACAAGAAAAAGCTACATTTACTTACTGAAAAGGATTAGAAGATGAAACTGGATAAAATAAAACACGTTTAGATAAAATAACGACTAATTACTAAAATAGTAAACTTACCCAACACTGATTTTTCTGACTTCTTCAACAGCAAATGTTTTTTTTCTTCCATTCCTCACATTTCATGCTCTGACACGCCAGTTTATGTATGTGTTGGGGACGTTTGTTTCAGTACCTCCACCCTTCTTGACCCTTTTCTGTTCGTACTGTATATTGTTCCCGGGCTGCTGCAGTAGCTGCGTGTGCTCTGAGAGATGTCATTGAGTTTCTGTACCAGGAGTGTGGAGTTCAAGCCCAGTGATAAGATGCTGACACTGTTCAAAGCACAAAAGAGCATTACAAATGAGAACACGCTATTAGGCTTGTCTAGCTCATTTGGTAGTTTTCAGCTAATTGATCACTCTGTGGTTTCGTGAGAGAAGCCAGGGTATCAGCTTCAACAACAGGGCTGGGGAGCTTGTTCCAGGCTCCCACAACCCCTTCTGGAGAGAGGTGCCTCCTCTTCTCAGCTTTAAATTCTCTTCCCCTTAGTTGCCATCTGTGTGCCCCAGTTGTTGTTTCACTGTTGATTCTAAAGACGTTCATAGGCTTTTCTCTGTCAGTGTCTTGGAGGACTTTGAAAACGTGGATCAAGTCCTGTTGTGTTCTTCTCTGTTCAAGATTAAAAGAGTTCAGTTCCTTCTCCCTGTCAGTGCAGGACACTCCCTTCAGACCCAGAATGTATCTTGTTGCTCCTCTCTGGAGAGATTCTACAACAGCAATATATTTTTTGTAACACGGCGATTCAATTTCTATACTGTAAATGAGATTTTTACTTGTGCATTGCACAGCTTTAACATAGTGTTCCTTGATTTTGAATTCTACGCCTTTAACTACAGCATATATCCCAACGTTGTTTTTGCCTTTTGAATTTTTCTCCACATTGTATCCAAGATCTCAATTACATGTTGACATGAAGTCTTTTTCATAAGCAGCTTCTACAAGATCGCTGTTTCTTATTTCGTATAAATTATTTTTACTTTTGCTACCTGTATGTAATACCCTCCACTTTTATACATTAAACATTGTTTGCCATGTGTTCGTCTAGTCATGAATTGTATCCCAATGTTTTTCAATTACCTTTGCTTCTACTTCAGGGGTAATACCCTTATTTTTGTATCACCAGAATTGTTCAGACTACTGTATAGACTAGTTTACTAGCTGTACCAGAGTCTAGATCAGTGATATCACATTAAATTAAGAAGAGCAGAGATCCTAATGTGATCCCTGTGGTACACCACTAATTACAGCATTTTCTGCTGGTCTGGTTTTAGAATAAAAGATTCAGCAACTTAAATCCTGTATATGTCCTTGAACAGTATATGACAATGCACATGAAATGTTGTGGGTTAGTTGTGGGTTGACTGAGTTTGCTACCAAGATGTCCTGATTTTGCATGCCTTTTCACATAGCTGGCTGAGACTCTAATGCTCTGGGCTGTGACAAAGCAAAACTCACAGGCTCTGATTAGATCAGCATTGATCACTTATTACAGCAGGTCCTCTGACTCGCACATCAGATAAAAGTCCTCTCATTTTTAGCTCACGTTATTCGGAGCAGATGCCTCTGTACATTAGAAATACAGCAGACAGCTTGGCAATTTTACCAGGAACATTCTGTATTAGAGCAACTATTAAATTGCAAAACCTCAAATGAGGTTTGGCTTTTCTGTTTCTAAGAAGCTAAAGGCGATATGGGTTCTGTGACTAGCTGGCACTAGGGTTACCAATGTGAGGTTTTACCAAGAGCTTAAGTTATGAGCCCTTCCATTGAAAAGAGTTAGATTTATATTTTCCAGGTACAATATAAATAAATGAACAAGAAAGCAAAAAGTACAACTGGGGGGACTAATCCAGTACATTACATTACAATACAGTTTAATATTGATAAGATGCAACAATAAGGCAAATGCCTTCTATAAATAAATGTATTTTTAGATGAAAGGTAACTCAATATAAAGAAAATATTAAAGAATCAAGATGGGAGCTACAAATCATTTGCAGAAAGCTGAAGTGTTACTTACATAAATAATAAAAGCAAGGTTATATTCCAACTATAGAAATAAACTGGACAAGAAAGTACAAAAACGTCCCAGTCCAAACAGTCTAAAACACTGACAGCTGTTTACTGTCCAGCTACAATCATTGGAAATTACTACAGTGTGTGACTGCTTCCATATTTAAACTGCGTCACCTTACTTTGCAAGTATTAAGGACAACAAATGATTTGATACTGAATTTTGACTTGTACTTTTATGAACACCATTCCACTCATATCATTTCTGAGTCTTTTGATAGCCAAAGACCCAGGTTGTCGAAATGCACTTATTGGTGAATTCATTCTGCTCTACCAGTGACAATCTTATTGAAGAGTATTAAGTGTCTGTTCTGAGTATTCCAGTCCCCCCTGGAGGAAACATCAATATGGCTAAACTGGCATGTGTTAGGGTTTGGGTTACACTGCTGGAGGGAGGAGACGTCAAGCCATCTTTTTTCTCCTTCCACAGATGCTTGCCACACTTTTCATAGCTCTGGAAATGGTTTCATTACACCTCCAGTGGGACAACTTGATCTGCTTTCTGTTCCTCTTCCATTGGTGAGCACATGGCACCACAGCAGCCAATGCATCTCCCACTCTTGAGCTGACAGCGGTTCTCAATCACCACATGTCAGACAAACTGGGTGCGCAATCGCTCTCCTCTTTGTTTAGGGATGCTCATGTTTTCATGGTTGCAGAATAAAAATGTATTTCAATGCACTGAACTTGCTAATTGTCACGATCGTAAGTCCCTCCTCTTAAGGGCGCTCCGGCTCTTTCCCGTTTTCGTTGATTTCGTGCACCTGACTCCTATTACAGCCCCTCCCTTTTTAAACCAGACGCTCCTACCACTCCGGGCTCAGCTTTGGAAGATGGACACCTGGAAGCCCGCCTACCAGCGGGTCCAGGAGAGACCCGACGTCCTGCCCACCTGGGTCTGGAACTTGGAGCGCCTGGCCCTGGCCCTGCACCAGATCCCGCTCCGGTTTTTAACCTTTGTCTTGTCTATCGTGGATGGATTAGCCGGTTCTGGACTCTTGCTCACCCTGGATTTCTCTTTGGACTCCCTTTGGACTTGTTCACTTGGACCACACCCCCCCCGAGCACCAGTGCACCATTGACACTCCCCCCTGTTGGTCTACCAGCCCAGTTTCTCGTTGTCTCCTCCCCGTGTCTGTTTCACTCCCTTCTGGATTCTGCCGTCTGCACAGGGTCCTGATTAACGCTTCGTGACACTAATGCTTGGAGTGTTAGCCACTGCTTTCTGAAAATACACATATAGAGAGAAAGTTTCTCACTTGTCAGAGATGCTGGTCCAGAGACCTCAGTGAGTTTCCCTTCAAGGTATCGTGACAAAACACTGCTGGGCACCAAGGCATTCAGAAACAAATGGGATGACAGGAACTTTACAACATCCTCCTGGAAAATGCTGTCATCTCATGAACCCCAACAGACGACGACTAAAGAGCTTCTTTGACTGAGGTCTTCAGTCTTGGAAATGGCAAACAAGGTTGGTTCCAGCAGTCATTTCACACGAAGGTCTAAGCAGTAAAACGCAAGGTCACATGCAAGATCACAATAAACAAAAAAAGTGTATTATGCTATATGTGCTGGAAGGCATTAAATGCAAAACAAATGCTATCGGCTGCCATAGGGTACTATTCATAAAACAGTGACTATATAGTGTAGTCAGTGCTTGAGTCAAGGCTTGGGAAAAATCAGGCCACTGCTGTTAATGGACATGCTACAGCAGTAGACTGGGCTTTTCCTCCTGGGCCATAATTTCCAAATCAGTGCCTCGGTATGATGTCATACAGTATATGAGGTTCCATTAAACCACAGGTGGCCAACTTTGGTAGCTTAATTCCAATCCCTTCCAAATCCGTGTTCAAGCTGATTCTTAATTACTGATGCCATCAACAGGATCTGTGTCAATTAGGCAACTAACGATCAGTCCAGTCCTAACGATATTGGGAGGTTCAAAGGCCTGTAATGGCAGGGAATCCCTTTGTCAAGGTTGAACCTTTCTGGGTCAAACCAAAGTCCTGACTGCTTTGTCATCAACGATACCTTGGCCCTGTTCGCAGGAGTGTTAACCTCAGTTTCCTAGCTAAACTACATTTTGACTCTTTTAATCTGGCCTGCCTATGTTTCCCCCTTAATTCAGCTGAGGATGGAATATTTCACTTCACCTGATGTGTGGTGGAGTAGGTCTGGTCTGAGCTGGTCTGAGCTGGTAGAATCGGCACTTCTCTGGAAGATCAAGTGGGAACTTTCCAATATGTAAAGGGCATTGGGATCTATTGGAATAGAAAGCTTGATGATGATGCACCTTCTCTCCTTCTTGGCTGAAGACGGCATGCTAGAAGAGTCATTGCCCAAGCTGTGATACATTGTCAGATTCAGTCTTTACAACAGCGTTTACTGTCGTTTAAAAAGTGTACTGAATTGTATCAGTGAAGGAATGATACTCTTTACCAAGGAGGGCAGGATCCTCCTGAAACAATATGTATTCTGGAGAGTTATGAAGACAAAAACTGCCATTGAAATCTAGAAATGGCATTTTCTGAAGTTGTATCTGCGACTTCTAAAAGTGTGTAAGAAAATGATTAGACGTGTTTTCTGGAGTATTTTCAAATGTATGTTAAAGAAGAAATTACAATATAAAATTTATGACGAATGGTACAGACTGAGGTCATGATTTAGATAGACGTTAACCTTGGTGTTACGGATTGCTGGTAAGTGACATTAATCATCGTGAAAGAACTGCGTTTGATCACGAAGCTGATCTGCTATTTGCGTGTTCCAGGCTGAATCAAGATTGACAGATAAGCCAGAGGAATAAGACATTCTTTATAAAGTCTATCCCTCTCTTTGAAGTTAAGGAAGGGCAGCATGAACTGTGCCTGGCTTTTCAAGAGGAAACGGAGGGTGTGCAGATTCTTTCAGAAGTGCCTTCTTAAGGAAAACGATTTGATAAATGCAAACTAAACAGGCCAGCAAATGCTCATCGCTCTTTACAACACTGGGCACTTCGGCAGATCAACTTTATTGAAGGCATCAAACACTAACCAGCCCCTTAGCGAAAGAATTTGGAAAGGGGCTGGTGCAGAACACAAACCTTCCCCTGAAAATGATGTAGGAGGACTTTGAACAACCGAAGCCCTCAAAATTAAAAATCGAACGACTCTAAAAAAAAAACACGCATTATTAATATTTGGTGGATAATGTAAATAATACGATGCCTTCCTGAAAGAAAAAAATGATTTTTCTGATTATCATTGTGTCCTCGTTTAGGTTCACCTCCGAACATGAAGTTAAAATGTATCACATATTAATCTTTCGTGTTTTCGTGTGCTTGCTCTTAATAATTCTGCTAAACCTAACACATAATCGTTAGTATGCAATTTGATCCTCAAACGTGATCATTCTGGGCCACGGGCCACGTTATAAATTAATAGATAATTATAGCTTCTAATGAAGAGCTCTTGGGGGTAGTAAGTAGATTTCTGTCAGTCTAAACTGGGGACTCCGGTAATACCCTGTAGGCAGACACGAGCACATACTGTACCTTAGCCACGTTGTGAATTACTGACTAAGGTTAGAAGAGTTCATCACAGGTAATCTCACAGCTCCCTCGAACCGAGCTGCTGTTTGTCGTTAAAACACGGTAAAACCCAATTCACAAATCAAAAATGTGCGGCGTGTTTTCAGATTTCGTGCCGCCTCTTTAGCCTCCCTCGGGTTTCTCCGCTTGTCACAGAGAGGGATAATTTACTGACGTTTCGCCCAACACAAAGCCGCGTTTATGAAGGAAACTCAGCCGTTTCTTCTGGCTCCCGGAGTCGTACTGTAGGTGCATGACGTACCGAGGGCTGACAAGGGGAGTGAAGTATAAGCCTGTTGGGAAGGCACAGTCTCTGACTGACCTGTACAAAAAGGGGGCTGCGCACAAAAGCCACAGACGGAGAAAAACCCGAGCGCTCTCTCCAGCTGTCCCGACCCAGGTCATATTGACCTGTACTGAAAAGCCCCGGTGTAATGTAGTCCATGTAAGTCGATGGCGAGAAAACATTTTAACGTACCAGCGACGCGAAGGAGGAATGCAAGCACTCACTTGATTATCGTAGTGGTTCGCTGTGTAATTTTTGGTTGCATTTCTCGTTTCAGTCCTACTCGATCATTTCCTGAAGCCTATCCAAATAAGGCAGGAACCTACTGTCGCAGAATTAGCGTGCTGAACCTATACTGTACATCACTCGAAACAGACATTTTCTTTAAAACAACTTGATGGATTCAGTCAGTTATACAAAGGGCTTCAGAAGGGCGTTCGCTTTATTTATACGCCTGGCTGTCGTATTCTGAGCAGTTTGTCTTTAGGATGCCTTTTAAAAAATGCCTTAACGCCGTTTGACAGCCCACGCCAATAGCGTCGTGGAAACTAAACTCCTTGCCGTGGTTGTTTTTGTCCGCTGTTGTACATGGTGCTGTCATTCAGCCGCCTCGACATTGTCGCAATGTTATTAGCGTTGGTTATCGCGCTAATTGCCGCCGTATTGATCAAGGAAGGCGGCCCGAGAAGTGTGCACTTGATCCCGAGCTCGCGGAGATCGGGCTTGACGCGATGAAATCTCTATCCCATCTTAGAGAAGTGCAGTGACGTTATTTGTAGAAGTGCCCAAAAGTCCTTAATGAATAACTTTGCGAGGGGAGAAAGCAAATGTTCCCCCAGCTGTTTCCTGTCGAAAATGTCTGTGTAATGTAGATAAATGTGAGGATTTTCTCTAAATCCGTCTCCTGTTCGCTAAATCTCACTTCACAAAAATCAGATCAGAGCCTGCGCACTGGAACAAAGTCTGAAAATTGAAATGTGACATTGTCTACATCTCATCCTCTTTCTCGCTGGATTTTTTTAATGACTTCAAACAAATTCATTTTGCAGGGCTTCGCAGTTTAGAAACCCGTGGGGATGTCTAACAGACATACAACAGAGTTCTTTCAGTGGCAATTGTGTGATGTCTTCAAGGTAACTTGCTAATTTTATTTTTTCCTTTAAATATTCACCTTCTGCTTTCACTCTGCACTTTGTTGTGTTATTTTAAACCAATCTGTTTAGCCACGTTTTGTGACTGAAAAGGGCTAACTGCCTCTGCTAGGAAAATCGTTAAACCCAAATGAATTGCATCTTATAAGTTTAGCTCTGGGGAAGTATTTTATGATATCTTATTTACATTTTATGTCAGCCTTTAAACATATATTAAAATTAAAAAAAAAACTTTTGATTTACACCGTAATTTTGAAATGTGTTAGTATGTGCCTGTTTCAATATGCATAAATATACTGTACTGTATATGATAACGTTTATGTTATATTTTAATCGATCTGTATATAGCGCCTTTTACTTAATTTTGTATGAATGGGGAGATCTATAAGTGCTCGTTCTTTGCACAAGTCAGCGTTTTTTTTAATGTTTGGAGAAGCATTAACCCTAATTAAAAATCATTCAAGCCGCATGTATTTGAATTTGAATCTTTCAAATCAACTTATGCTGACTCTGCAGAAGTAAAAAAAGAGAGGATAAATAAACTTTTGAGCGAAAAGGGAAACGCTTTTCCTCATTCTGTGGTTACACAAGGCTTGAGAGTGGTTTAAAACTGCAATTTATAACATTATGATGTAGGATCTAGTGCAAATTCTCTTTATTATGTAAATTTGGCCTGCAGCGGGTCGCTGGCTCGGGCGGCTAGGTCTGGCCGCTCTGCAGTTTTCCATCTCATTGTAACTCCAATTTAAGCTCGCAGGAGCTCGGCTCAGCACGCACGTTATGAGCGAGCGGTTTGGTGCTGCTGGCGCCGCCTGTCTTCCAGCTTCCCCGCGTCTCTCTGGTGTTTTCTCCGGTGTGTTGTTTTTTCTTTCGCTGGCGTGTTTCGCCGAGAACACCTGAGGTACCAGAGAGCTCCGGAGAGGGAAGCGGAACGCGACTGGCAGATTCTGTGCAGATTGATGTCCGTGTCGTTAAATTAGCAGGGAACAGCTCAGATGGCCGCGTCTGGCTTTAATGTGCACCTGCTATAGGCTCTATGCTACCGACTCGTAGTTTAGCCTGCTTGGAGCTGATGTGCCCACATGTTAAGGCTAGGTAAGGTGAATGGGAACCTTTTTTTGTTTTGTTTTGTTTTGTTTTACGTTTGCCGAACGATGTCCTGCAGGGTGATTAAGGGAGCTAATTTAAAGGATTTTTGTCACGACTTGCTGACCAAAAGAGATAGGGTCATCATAACCGTATCCCAGAGAGATGCTTCATCTCAGACATGAAATCTCGCCCTCTGGCGTGTCTGAGCAGCCAGCCGTCGAGGAGTAACAGTGGGAATTAAGTCACGTTTTCCCTCGCCCTGGGTGGGTCGCTGCGCCGTCGTCACTCAATTGGTCTTTAACGCGGCCGCGTCATGCGCTACAAGGCACGGTAGTTCGCGTCGCTGGGTCAGTGAGAGGGAATGTGCACTCTGAATGCACATGTGTGGAAAAGAAATGCCTCTCCATGTCTCCTCACTCTAAAAATGACGTATCCCTGTATGTGAACCATGCCGCACCTACAGTATGTGATCTTCAGAATTTTCCGAGTGTAACCAGCGTCTGTCTCTCGTCTGTCTCTGTGTTCAATCGCGTGGTTATTGCACCGACACCACGAATCAAACCACTGACAAGAGAAGCTCAGACTAAATGCCTCTAAAGTTCCTCTCTGCAAAGCGTCTGTCACGTTTTACTTAAAGAGCTATCTTCCTTTCTTGTTGGTTGCAGTTTGAGATGTACACTTTATCCTGTGCCCATATACTCTACTTCATCCTGTGTGTTCTGTGCCTGACTCGGACAGCTGCTGCAGTGCCAGAGACTTTGTGTGGCGCTGAACTTGTGGACACTCTGCAATTTGTGTGCGGAGAGAGAGGCTTTTACTTCAGTAAGTGCGCTTTTTACTTATTTATGGATATAATGCTTTCCTCCTGTCCTAATGGGTTACTTAATAAATAAAAAAAAACATCCATTTGCTCTTTTTTATTTAAGATTGCATAAGTAATAAAACTAACCGTAAGAAACTGTATTAGATATGACTACATCTTTGTTTAGTATTATAAAACATATTTTACAGCTTGTACTGTTCTGAAATTGCATTGTTGTACTTAACAAGGTTAGGCAATTTGAAAAATGCACCAGAAATAGGTTTTCCATTGTAAAAGTAATGTAATGTAGTGTCTTTCATGATGTATCCTGGCATTATCAGGATTTGCTTTCTGATTTGCATTTAACAGCTTTGAAATGATCATCATTTTGAAATTATCTGTGGCGTATTTAGTAGAAACAGGTCTTCAGCAGATGTACAGTATCGCTGGATAAGTGCTATGAACTTTAGTTGCCTGTTGTTTTCCTTCCAGAGTAAACCCAGTGTCAAGGTGAACAATCATTGTTTCAAAAAAGAAAACATACCTACGGGTACATACTCTACACTCAGTCCTGGCCTTTCATTTTCAGCCATTAAAACTGTGTTGTGCAAGACTAATACTTAATGTCCACCATCCTCCTCAATGTCTGCTCAAAGCCGTGTGGCAAGGTGAAGACTATCTCGTTTGCTTTTGTTTCATCCTCCTCCAGTGCTACCACACCCCCTGTAGGCCAGGTCCGTCATTCAAGAACACAAGCACACTAGGAAGGTCAGGTGGCCATGCAGACCACCAAGCTTTGGTAGTTAGCCGCTGAATCATCCAGTAATTTCCCCCAAGCCTTTTCTTGAAAGAATCCAGGATGCTCATTAGTTTGTTCCATACTCCCACAAACTATATACTGTATGATTGGAAAATGTGTCTAGACTGTCTTCATTGTAACAAGTAATAGGTTTATTCCATGCTGAAAAAAAAGAAGAATGAAAACACAACGTTTCGGCCTTGAAGCCTTCTTCAGGTGTCACACCTGAAGAAGGCTCCATGGCTGAAACGTTGTGTTTTCTTTCTTCTTTTTTTTCAGCACGGAATAAACCTATTACTTGTTCCTTTGCAGCCTACGCCTGCTGACGCAGCTCCCCACCATGTCTTTATTGTAGTTCCTTTGTTGTTGTTTTTTTCTGCCAAATTATTCAAAGCCTCTAGAGAACATAAGACGGTCAACAGACACTTTCTGGAAACAGAACACATGAATGATTATAAATGAGAGGAGGCTCTTCCACACATCCAAGCTGTTTGTTAGTTAGGGGTCCATTGATTTGAAGATCTCATCCAGCTGTTTCTCAAAAGAAGCCTTAACATGCAGTGCATAAGTGAAAATTATTTGCATCTGATTTCTGTATTAATTACTCAGGCTACTCTCTTAGCATGTGGCAGATGATTTGATAAATGCTTTAAAGTTGCAATAACCAGCCAGATATTTGAACCGACATTCAATATGCAATATTCCGGGTTTCAATATCAGGTTAAAAAAGAGATTCTTAGCAGCTGATTACACAAACATTTAGACTTCAATGGTGACATATACAAATGTTTATATTTATACCAAAGCTGCCAGTGCCATCCTATTTTTGAAGGTCTATATTTTTCTGTATTTTAACAAGTTTTTTTCTTGCACTGGATAAGACAATAGGCACAGAAAGGGGTTTTTGGCTGGAGTCTCGCTCATTCTTGGCAATATGGCTGCTTCTGCTTTTCACTGAACCTTAAATACCAAGAAAAACCCTTGACTGAGCCAGACACTGCTGGCGTTTGAGTTGCATGTTCCTGTGTATTTGCCTTGACACAATTCTTTGCAGTTCAGCATTTGATTAGCTTTGGCAGACCCAGAGACAAGAAAAGACCACACAAATGTGGATTTGAAAAGTCTGGTATTATAGCCTCAGGGCATTGATGCCTGCTATCAGATACACAGTTCATCCATTTCAGGTTCCCAGGCATGAAAAAGCCTGTGATTTAAGAGGACTTTAATGTTCACAAGTGAATAAGGCGCATCTTTTAGAACAAAACTGCGTTCTAAAACATACAGTATGAAGAAAGCTGAGCATTTTGGTAGTGCTTGTGAAAATTGTGAGTCTTTTTCCTTTTTTCAGTCAGAGTTTTTACAGAATTAAGTGTAAATTTAACTGAAGCTGTGCAGCCTTTCACTTCAACCTCAGTGACTTCTCAAGAGCCCTATGCAAATCCATGAAGACATCTTCGAAAGTCTGGGTACAAGCGTGTGACAATGGATCAAGAGTCACACCATGGCCCTGTCACTACCCCGGATCTGAGAAGAGGTTTCTTGCAGAATCCCAGTCCGACAACAACAGACACCCCCCAGGATTTCTAGCAACATGCCTCTTAAGGATTTTGAATACCTGAATCAGGTGCCCTCGTAATGTTCTCTGTTCGAGGCTAAGAAGATTTAATTTCTCCAGCCTGTCAGGGTAGGACAGGCAGCCCTGGGATGTGTACTAGATTCCAGAGCTGCAATTTTAGGATTTGTGTAACAGACCAGTAAAGCCTCATTTGTAATACTGTGTACCATTTTGGACAATACAGTATAGAAAAGTTATCGCTGCTCTTGAACCCTACCAGCCAAGTGCAAATAGCAGTGTTCACAGTTCAATGCCAAAGGCCTGTCAGCAGCCCAGCTGCCCAGTGCCTTATGGGAGTTCTTGCCACACAACACTCCTTGACATAACTTCCGTTCAAGAGATACAAGTTGAAACTGCAGAATTGAAAAGCTGACTGCCAACACACTGAGGGCTTTGACCTGTTAGGCTTTGCTTCCTGTGGAAAGCGCGGCAGCCGTGCCTCCTATGAGCAGTCCATCATCGCTGATGCCGTCTCCCTGTCATCGGCGTCATCGATGTTCTGTGACACCGTACGGCTCAGCTGTTTCAGTGAATATAAGCCAGCCTCCACATGGCTGTCTTAGTCTTGCGGATGACAGGCGCTGACTGGGGACATGCAGCCCCAGACAGTGATGGAGAAGAGCTTCTAGAGCTGGCTTCTCAAAAGGATATCTCCCTGATGCACAACCCCAGTCTTCCCGATGCACAACCCCAGTCTTCCCGATGCACAATCCCAGTCTTCCCGATGCACAATCCCAGCCAGCCAGGAATATTCCATTCATCAGGACGCGGTTGGAGTTACTCACCTGACCTGTGCTGGATCAGTCTCACCTGACCTGTGCTGGATCAGTCTCACCTGACCTGTGCTGGATCAGTTCTTAAGTGGCCACAGTGCCCAATTCTAGATGAGTTTCTGCTTGTGAACATTTGGCTGCCGCTTTCTAGCCATCAACAGCCCAAGGAAGATACACATCTGACTGGCTTAAGAACAGCATCCAGAGTGTATCTGAAGAAGGGGTGTACAGTCCAATCAGCGTTGTGGTGCTCTTGATAAAGCCACTTGCACAGCATGACTCACCACTCTCACCCCTTCTACATCTCATGCCTTGATGCACACAGCACATCACTCCTAAAAGAGTGGAATGTGAAAGATCAGCCAATCTTGATGCGGTCAATCCATCTCATTGAGTCACTTAATGCTGCACATCATATAAAATGGAAGGAAACAGCAGAATAGCTCATTTTCTCTCTATCTAGCTGGATGTGCTGGAGTCTGATTCATGACTTCGAAGTAGCGTGGAGACCTGCACAAAGGCTAACCGTTTACGTTGTGTAAGCACGTGGCTGTCTTTCTGGAAAAGAGTACACACCACACCATGGGAATGAAAGAAAGGAGACGTGTTTCCAACAGTTTAACACGTTTGCAGAAAGCCAAAATCTTTGAACACAAATTGTCTTTCATTTGGTCAAGATTTCTGACTGGTTTCTGTACAAGGCCTAAACAAGTCTGTCTCTACTGAAATATTGACTCAGTGCTGAACACATCCTCTGTTCTAAATCAGACTGGTGATCAAGGGACCGGGAGTCCACCGTTTAAGCTCCCATTGATCGCCACCCATGTTTACTTGTTCTTGTTATCACTTTTGTTTCCTATTTTATTTATCCGTGATACATCCAAGGTTGTGCAGATATGGAAATCATCTGATTCTTCACCCCAGATATTCCCGAATAAAGAGAAAACCAAGGAGATTGGATTTTCCTCATCTAGCTCTGCTGTTGCAGCATTCTAAGCAATTGCAGGCTGTGGTGCATTCACAAATTGCTGGAAAAACAAGCATACAGTATATAAGGAATAAGAACTCATGGCCATTAAATTTACAGAAACTGATATTACAAGAATAAACATAACTAGGAGTGGATGATGTGGACAAATAGAAATTTCATTAAAACATTTCTTCAGCAAGACTGAAGCAAGATAGGTCATCCATCATGAACAGAAACAACATTGCCAACATCACAGAAATCACAGAAGCATTGCTCCCTTTTGACGTCACAGAAATGAAGCGAGCCTTGAGTGGCCTACAATATGTAGTGGGCTACGGGCTGCCTACATCTCACTCAAGTTTGCAAAAATATCTTGGTCCTAGTGTTTGTGTTCATTGCAAAAGTAGTAATCTGTCTGGACACATTTTAGAAGACATGCTTAATGGACAAAGCCATTACCATTCCCAAATCTGGTAAAAACATAACCACAATGACATAGAACTGCTGATGGATTTCACTACTTATTGTGTGTTATATGATTTGTGAGTGCCTAATAACTACAACTCATACTCCCAAAAGTGAGAGCATTCTTTGTGTCAACCAAACTGAATTCTGAAAGGTCATAGCACATGCGGCCAAGGACTTTAACATCTACATTGCAAATGGGTACTATTAAAAAATCAAGACAGGCATAGTTATAATAGGCATTACAACCTCCTTCTGCAGAGTATACCATACTGGCCTACTTCTAAAGCTGTCAAAAGTACTTCCAGCCGAGCTTTGTAACCGACAAAGGGAAGGGGGTAAGTGCATGCAGGGCACAGATCAATGGATGTCCACATGGTTCAATGCAGGCCACATCT